GTCTTGTCTTGACTTTGTAAATTGCCTTAATTGGAGATTTGTGTAAAGACCACTTTTTAGTCTAAATTCAGTGGGCTCCTGACTGGGAGTTTCTTCAAGATGACCTGTACCAGCAACCTCCACCCATAGCCCTGTTTTCACTCTTTCCACAGCCTATTGCATGGTTTTGSCCCTGTAAGTTACACTTAATAAWGCAATTATKTATAATAMCTCAATCATGATGACARCAAAAGCTRTGACAGAAGAGAGGGGATGGAAGWGGAAACTCCTTCTCTGAGCTCAACAGAACTGACAAAATCAGCCATCAGGAGTGCCATGGGAAGGGCTATTGGTGGGTGTAAGCAGTCCTGCTCTGTGCCACCTGATACCAGAATTCAGCATCAAACCCATCTGTAAACACACACACAAATATCCAGCAAATTCCTTCTGGGCTAGAGAAAGCRGTGGGTCCATTTAACTGATTATATTCCCTGGAAGTCTCCCAGCATTGGTCTTTTAATGTATTCTTCTCTAAAAGCGTTTCTTGCACATATATATTTCCATTTTCCTTGAGATTTCAAAAGAGTTGGCATTGTTAACTTTGAATATTGCTGGTTAATTGTTGGTGGGAAAAGACAAATTATGAGCAGGGGAACTGTTCTGGGAGGATTTAGTGTATTTGAATAATTCAGACCCCTGCCGTTAACGTGACAGGATTGTTTTTCTCCTGCAGTAGCCTGCTGCTACAAGAATTAAAACTGTCGTGGCAGGCTACAGCTTGGGCTAGGCCTTAGTAATGAGCTTTATCAGTCAATAAATGATTTTATGCAGCAAATTAAACTGTAAATTTGGTTTAGGTGGTAAATATTTAGAGAATAAAGATATCCTGCTAATGAGGAGGACTGGGTGGGGGAAAAATGTAATGCAAATGTCAATCCTTTAAATCTTGGTAGACTAAAGCTCTGCAGAAAGTTTACTGCCACTGCCTTCTTTGTTTTTCTTATCTTTTTTTTTTTATTTTTGGCCTTTTTAAACAGCAAGGGAACACTATCTCAACTGTGTTTACAGATGCTGGAGAAGGAGGCAAAGGCTTTTGGGAGGTATTATGGAGCCACAGTTCTACACACTCACTTGACCCTCAGAATAAAGGATTATTCTTTCTCCAGGGAAGTTTTGGAAAACTTGTTAATCTTGGCAAGGGCATTCATTACCAAGATGAAMATTTTGCATGTAATTTATTTTTTTACTCTGGCAAAAAAAATCAGCTTTTAGAAAATAAAAAGTATGCGGAAAAATGTCAGTCAGGTCCATAAAGAAYTGCTGGAAGTCATCCTAAATCTAGGAGCATTAACCTTGCTGTCCTTTATCAGTTTCTAACAGTAGCAGCAATTTTTTTTGTGATTTCTGCTGCATCCTTTATTCTGTACTTTCTGACAAGAAAAATTTTTGCAGCCCCTGATGAAACCCCTGAAACAATGGCTTTATTTATGCCTTCCAGGTGACACTGCCAGATGGCAAAATCTCATGCAAACGAAACCAGAAGTGCCTGTACACCATGTGAGGCTAACACAGAACTTCCTCCAGGACAGAGAAACCATCTCCTTTCCTGAGAATCACCAGAGAACCCAGAATTGATTCCAGAAGCTCCACTTTGAGGTGGTTCCAGGCTCAGACACAGCACAGTGACAACACTCAGAGAAACCCCCAATGACCACAGAGCCCCCAGGCTCCATGTCCCTGTACTGGGGGAGCTCCTTGCTCAGGTCAAGGATAACCTTGACATTTTAAAAAACCAGCTGATCAGGTATAAAGCAAAGTCTGCACAAGGCTTTAAAGCAAAATTTGAAAGGGAGACGGTCGCATATTGAAAGGAAATTGAGCYGCAGAATACCCCAGTAAAACTCGGTGGGACCCACACATCGTACACTCCAAACAATATTCTGTTAAGTGCAATAAATCCAAACAGCCCCCTGGAGATCTGTTTGGAAGATCAGGGTATATATTGGGGATATAGAATGGAAGGCTGTTTTTAACATGAAATCTATTCAACTGCAAGCTGTTGATGTTAACKGCTTCTTGAAAGACCCGATATACTAATGCAGTTTATTTACATGGCAGAGAACAAAACTTCATGTATCACCTTCCCTGTGCCTTTCTTTGATTAGATTGCCTCACTTTAATTACTAAATTCTGTTAAAGGACTTTCCACACAGAYGTAATTTCATGCAGGTGTTACCTGGTGTAATGAAACCAGATGTTTCCATTGGAATAGGGCTCCCTCATTTGAGATGTGTGCTCTGCAATAGCCTGATTTGTATATCCATCAGCTCAAACTGGAAAAAAAAATGTGTCTGGGAGTGTTAACTGGGATCAGACTCTGAGTACAGAATGGGTAGTGCCACCTGTTGTCTTCTTYTCCATACAAAAATCTTCCATTTGTACATAACTTTACTTTTAAATATTTTCCTCTGTTGTTCCTGCTTTGATTAATCCTGCAGGCTCTTTTGCAAAACTCTTAGAAGCCTTCAATGGACACAAMTTTTTCACTGAAATTTTAACATCATGTACTTCATACAATCTGTGAAGCTTCCCAGCTAATTTCTGCAATGGGCTAGAAACTTCATGGCTGGTTATGGAAGGAAATAAAATGTGTTTATTGAGGTGTATAAATAGCAACCAAAAAAAAAAAAAAAAAAAAAAAAAAAAAAAAAAAAAAAAAAACAAAAAAACAAGCCACCAAAAGCCTCAAATCTTATTTTATTGTAAACAAATCAAAACCCTCATTATTGCAAAATCATGATTGGCCAAATGACAGACCAAAGACATAAAGTGACATAAAGAAGGGCCAATGTGCAGCGACACAGAGAGAAGAATGAAGTCCATGTCACACCTAAGTTGATAGCAATTCTGGAGGAGTTTCTGTAACACCCAAATTTTGAATCAATTTTGTGATAGTTCACCAAACACATGATGGAAGGAGAAGTTKTCACACATCAGCCAGGGCTGTCCAACACTGGGAGAAGAATCCTCAACRTCACACAGAGGTAAAACCAGCACAGAAAGCCTTTGCCAATTCCAAACTGCCACAAAATGAGCAGGAAATAGTAATATTTGTGAGGAAACACTAAGATTTTGACCCAAAAGGAGCAAACCCAATTCCAAATGACTCTAACATGAGCCTGAGTTAGAACCTCTTCCCATTCCTCCCCATTGTCCTGTCAAGCSCTGATGCTGCCCAGATGACAGCAGCCCAACAATGAAGAGCCAARAGCCCATGGGCACCAGCAGAAAGCTCAAAACTGACAGAAAAAAGACAGGGCCACAAAAGCCTTGCCAGCCAGACAGCACAAAATCAGAGAAACCTTTTTTTTTTTTTTTATTAGTTCTTCTAATATTAAAAACAAAGTTGAAAATATTCAGAAATTGCGCTGCCCTCCCCTCCTCTTCCATCTGTTTTCTTCATTATGTTTTAATTCTTTTGCAAAGCACCCAGCACTTGGGAGGCACCTGAAGGCCACTCTGCAAGGTGGGGTTGTGGACAGGAGGGTGACACAAGCACACACAAAGCCATTTCATATTTGTAGGCTCCAAATTTCTSTCTTTACAATTGCCTTTCTGAACGAATTCATTTTTATTTTGTGTTGTTTTTCAGGGTTTTTTTCAGTGGGGGGAGGAAAGGGAAGATATAGGCTAGTCAACTAAACTCCTGTCTGCCCTCATTATTTCAATTCAGGGACTGACAGTACAAGACTTAATATTACAATAAAGCAAAACTGGTGTCAGCAAAAAAAAAAGTTTCGATGACACACTGATATGGAACACTATGATACACTGGTAAAAACTATGTGAAAACCAGAAACACATAAGACTGCAATTTAATCTTTTTATTTGAAATATAAATATTGTTACTATCAAGCTTGACAGTATAGAAAATGTGTGCCCTGCAGCCTTCTGACAAAACAAAATTTATATTTAAAACTTCCTGAAATAATGCCTTTCATATGTGGAGTTTTGTCACATTGCAGCGGCTCTGAGCCTACCTTATGGTCCTGCACCTTTAATTATTTTATGCCTAGAAGACACATTTTAAATAGAAGAGGCGGGTTACAAGAGTTTTGACAGCTGTGGATGATTAAAATACTGACAACATGCACTATATAAAATTCCCTGAGGTTTTAGCTGGGTACTCACACGAAAGTTAGCGATTAGATTCCCTCCCCCCCTGCCAAATCCCACCAGCATGAAATGTTCCTATCACTGGCCTGTTACCCTTCTCTCTTTAGGCAATTCAACCTCCCCAACTTTTTTTTTTTATTTTTCTTTTTTAATATCTCAAGGCCACATACTTGAAAATTGGTCAACAAATTTGATTTAGTAATCTGTTCCCGTTTAACAAATATGCAGCCAGGTTTCATGGCCAGCTGTTCTGTATCATTGCATGAATGGAGGGAAGGGAAACCATTTAAAACATATGAAAGGTTTTAKGTTTTATTTTCATCAAACCCCCTTACAAGAGTGTTATAACTCGGTGCTAATTTTCTGGCCTCTTGACCTACATGCTTGGATTGTGCAAAATATTATATTATGAGGGGRAAAGAGTGCTCCCCAGTTCAGAAAAACACTGAAGTCTGTTCTTAGCCTTGACTCTGGCAGCTGCCTCCTGACTTCATGCACTTGAGTTATAASCTTTGGATAAACTGGGATCCTACCCCTGAAGTTCTTCAAATTAAAAGCTGCATATGAAATTAATATTAATTACACTGACCTTGAGCTGTGGCTATAGCTATGTCAGTCTGTCCCTCTCTTCTGGTTTAGGGGGTCAAAGAAATTCTAGAAGCAAATCACCTCCAAAAAATACATGAGCAATTGCAGAGGCAGACTCTGGATGTGGGCATAAATTATGGCCTACTTTTATTACCTTTAATTCATTTAAAGCTGTTTAGACACTTCTAAATTCAAGAAAAGACAAGGAAGAAAATCTTACCACCAAAAGAGCAGACTTATCATTTGGATGTTCCTTTTAACCCCAGAAGACCAGGCAAAGATGGATTTGGGATAAACCATTTTCCACTCTGATGGTGGGAAAGCATCTCCTCCTTCAGTCCCGTGAAGCTCCCTGGCAGAGGTGAAGTTTAAGGATGGATGGGACAGGAAAAAATTCAGGACTCTAAATAAAGCATAAATGATCCAGAGATATTGCAAGTCAAAAAGAAAAAGCAACATCAATGCTGGTGTCATGCAAAATGCAGAAAGACACCCCAAAGTTCCACACCATGTTGGGGAAGGAGTGCAAAAAATGGACAAGGTTTTTCTTCCAGGAAGCAAAAGTTACTGAAGCAGAAGCAAAATTACAGAAATTAAAGTCAAAAATAGTTAAAGTATTTGATTAAAGTACAAGGACATGATAAAAAAATTTCCCAAATTTTCCTATTCCATTTGACCAAGGCAGAAAACACTCCTTTTAATCATCAATATTTGCAAACAGAATGTTTGATATCTTTTTTTTTTTCTGTTAGAAATAAGAAGAGACCATCCCTTACTTGAAAAATCAGAGATCCACCAGTTACCTACTGCAGGAATTAGCCACARAAACACAACTTCATACAACAACACTTCCTAGGAAAACATTACTGACATCAAAGTGGGTCTGGAAAGAAACAAGTGCCTTTATCCATGTGCCTTGAGGATTTTWAAGTGCATCAGACAAGCAAATAAGACCTTCTTCTGCCTGCTCTGCATAGCTTTTTTTTTAAAAAAAAAAAACAAAAACGTGGAATATTTAGAGCATGCTCATCACCCCGCCCTTGGGAAAATGAGTTATTAAAAATGCTGGAATGCAATCTGTGTCAAAGGAGACATTACATCAGTCACCCTGGCCACCTGCTTTTTGCTGTTTTTCATGTTCTCAGTAAAGAAGAAGAATGAAATACATAACCTGGTGTCCTTGTCTTCAAATCTATTGTTAAATATAGGATATTGCTGAGTATTTTATRGCTACTGCTGCTTCCTCAGCAGACACTGCACTGGTCTGTAAAACACAGRGAGCACTGGAGCAGCTCAGCCACCCAGCTCAGCTCTTTCTGGCCTCCCAGTCCATTGCATCCATCACWCTGTGCATTCCTGGTTGAATCATCACTTTCCAACTGGTTTTGGGTTTTCACAAAGCACGTGCTGAGCCATTTCAGGGTCTGCCTCTCGTCTTTCTTCACACAAGTAGTTACAGCTCAGTATTTTYGTATCCAATTATGAAGAAAGATGAGAATAAAATGGGAAATAAAAAAGTGACAGGTAGAATTGCAGAACAAAATGGTATTGTACGCTTGCTTGATGCTAATTGGTTTTCTTAACTGCTTAAAATCTGTAGCATAGCATAAAATAACCCAGCAGTAGTGGTCTGCCAGCCATTTTTGACACCTTTTCAGTCAATTTGATCAACTTTGTGGCAGCTCTAATTCATTTTGGCTGCTGAGGATCTCAACAGACACAGATGACCTCTATGACAGAGAGAATGGAGGATGAAAGAGCAAACAAATGCTTTTATGAAAGACAAAATGAGAAGTTTCAGATTTAGTGAGATTCCCTTTTTTTTCKTAGCTTACAAAAGTGGCCATATTTAACTGTCCAACAAATGAAGTTCAGCACTCCTGAGCACCACCATTGCCAGTAATTTATATTTCATGTGTTTCTGTGCTTTGTTATTGATAGGAACCTGTAAAGTCAGCTCAGCTGTGACTGCAGACAGGTCACAGCCAAGGAGTAGAAACGAGAAAAGCCAAGTGACAGCAACCAAAGTGACATCCTGCAACTAACTCCTCAGCACATGTCTGGGTGTGTTTCTCACAATAAAGACTCACTGAGAGTGACCAAAAGCAATAAAAATCTCCATGAACCAAAAAATTACAATGCTAACATCATTCTGCTGTTGTTTCCCAGTACCAGAAGTTACAGAAGGTAAGGAGGTGGGGCAAGAAAGAGAATAAACTTTTAAATGACCTTAGACAGATAACCAGATTTTCAGTTTAGGCTTCAGAAGCAAGCTGAGTAATAATTTTAATACAARCATTTTCTCTGGAGGATGATGTTATGAAATAATAGACATAAACCCAATAATAGCCATCAACTTCTTTGGAACTTTGTGAAACTCATCTCGCTCACATTTGAAAGCACTCTCAGATCCAGACAGCCAACTGCTGTCAAAAAGCAAGATACATTTAAAATTGAGCACTTTGGGCTTAATTTATGTTCCCAGCTACAGCTTTTGGGATGTTGTACATTAGCTGTATATATGCTTTTACATATTTCTAAGAAAAATGGTCCTCAGAAGATGATGAATAGCATGCCTTACCAGAAAATATATGACAGGTTCTAAAAATGGTACATTTTTAAATTGGTATAGATATTTATACTTGCTCTGATCCTCTGAGATGTATATTGAAATCTGTAATATAAACAGCAAAGGGCATTCCAAGACAAGCAAATTAAAATGAATTCTGCATCATTCTCTCCCGTCCTATTATTATAAGTTCTCAGGAGGCCTACAAAAATTTGTATGTGAACTAAAAACGTATGTAAATCTAGTAAAAGTTACTTTAGAAAACCCTAACCTTTTATTAGATCACAGTGTAACTGATGTTTAAAATAAGAAGTTAGGGCTACTATCACAATATATAAACAGAGTCTGTGATAGACAYGCTGTGCCTTTATAACATTTTGCATTGTGCTGTCCCACATGTATTAAAATGTATATATCACCATCAATTCAGKACGAAAGAACTTTATTTTTTTAGAAAGCAATATCACCCCCATCTCCAAGAAAGAGCTATTTATCACCATCTGATAAAACCACTGCTCACTCTCAGCCTCTTGGCAGCAGCTTTTACTCTTTCCTCCTGGGCTGCTGCTCTCAGGTAATAACCTGGGCCAGGGTAGGACCTCCCCAGCCTTGGAATCATCAGTGGTGCCAGACCCCCCTGAACATCTGTCTACCCTGCTCTGGAAACGCTCTGGTGAGGTCTGCATCATTACTCAATTCCCCTTGTGGTTAGAAAGTTTTCCTCCCAGTCATCCTAATGCATCTTGGCTGAAAATTAAATTGGTTTCTTTTGAATTCCCTCAAGTGGAGGGAGAACAATGAGCACCAGCCTTTGCGTAACTTTCTCATATTGGAAAGACTATCACCGTGATTTCTCTGTAGGTTTATCAGTTCCCACAACTTTCCTTCRTAGATCATGTTCTATAAATTTCAGATTTTCCTGTCACACTCCACTCAATTTAATGTGCTTTCTTGATATGTAAAATATGGTGCCCAGTGTGGTTCTTTAGCTATGCACACTCCACTGGATTTTTTTTTTTCCCACAAGGACATTATATGTGACAAAACCAAAAGCTGAAATCAGGATAATTCAGCAACATCTCACCCCTTTCCCCAGGCTAGTTATTCTTTCAGAGAAGGAAATMAGATGGATTTGCTGAGAACAAATCACTTCAATCTTACATTATCTTTYACAACCCTCTTATCATCTGAATAGTTAGAAAGATTATTTTTTTAAAAKACTTGTTCCGGTGTATTTTCAGGAATAGTGATTGGGCTGACTGGGTTATGAATTCCAGAACACTTGTTTTTCTCTTTTTAAAAAGGTATATAGAATACTTTTCTCTTTCTTCTGGCATCCTCTAAAATTCTCAGAACACAATCTAGCATTTGCTGAACAGAAATCCATGTTTCTATTTAATTTCTAGTAGATAGACTTGTTCTAAGCACTTCCTAGAGAGCTAAACAGCTAAAAATTCAAGCAAATCTAGAGGTGAAGATTCCCACTGTCAGGCACTTGGTCCCTCACATCTCTGCTTCCTGGCTCTGCACATACAAGTAAAGAATGAGCAAACTCATGGAGTTAAATTGTCAGAAAAATAAATAAAAAGGGAAAAGATACCCCTAAAGATGCCAGAGTGTGCAGCTTCAAGGGACTGGAGAGGTCAGTGGTACCTTYCAGCAGCTGCTGGTTATTAGGTCGGTTTTCCTACAAAGTGGTCTCACCAAAGCAGTGCAAGGAATACATCACCAAATCCTGGCTTATTAGAAAGAAAAAAAGGAGAAATTCAAAGCCAAGGAATTCCAGCAGAGTCCAGATCTCCAAAAGCTCTGCCTTTGGRGTTTTATGCTCATGACTGCAGTGATTCAAGATGTTTTCTTCTACCAACACATCTCTTCCACTGGTTTCCCATCCTGGCTGCTCCTATAGTGCACAGCATATCGTTCACACTGTCATTTGATTATTGTAAATACACATCACTTCTAAATAAACTCATAAGCACTCAGAAACTGGTATGTATGACAGCTCTTCAGAGCCCTCATAGTTGTAAACACACTGATACAAGCAACAATTTACAGGCTATGGATCACTCCCGAGGTGGAGAGCAGAGACTGCCAGAAAAAACAATGCAAATTGCATTATCTGAGTTGTGAGGGAATTTCCCTTCTCTGTTCTCCTCCCACAGCATCACCCTGGCAGTCCCTCAGGGGCACCACAGCAAGGTCACACCTCAGTCAGCACAGCTGTCACTCCTTCTGTGTCCCAAGGAACAGAGAGAGAAGTGAGGACCAGAGGCAGGGACATGGTGCCAGCCTTGCTCCCCTGCCCCTCATTGGAGTGTTCCACAGGTAAAGTGGCTGCAGGATGGGTTTCAGCTTTGGGATTAGCTGAAGGGAAAMTTTAGTAGGCAAAGCAGGCAACTTGAAACTTTCAGCAAGCATTAAATGCCCTTAATAAAAAAAAAAAAACAAAAACAAACCAGAAATTGCTGTCTTTGGGAGTTGTCCCATCCAAATAGTTTTAAGATACTTTGGGAAAAAAAGTCTTTATGAAGAGCTGATTCATGTGTTATATCTATTGTGTGCTAAATAGTATGTTATCTTCTGAAATCATGGAAAGGAGGAGGGCATTTTTTAGTAATTGTTGGCTATTCAGACCAATGAAAGAAAGCATGTTTCTCTGGGTACAACGAATTCTGTTAGTGGTTTCAGAGCCCGGTGCCAACATTTCAGTAACAGATACATTACGAACTGCTACAGCTGGCAAGGTGTACCTGTGCTCTCTATTCCAGGGGAGGATTTCACTGCCTATTCAGAATGAATAGATTCAGAAGTGGAATCCAGCATGGAAAATGAAGGAAGGTCAGGGGAAGGGTAATATTTATGGAAGATTGAGCATTTTAGTGTGCTACTGGCTTCAGGGTCTGCACTCCCTAAAAATACTGGATTTTGTGCACTGGAGTGCTGAGCAGACAGACTGTAAGTAAAACATTTGTTTGAACCTTCACAAACAGGCAGTCGCTTGGTATTCAAAAGAGGAAAGAAAAGGAACTTCTATATTTTATGCTGCTCTAGAGCAGAAACATTTACCCCAACGAGCAACCCAATAAGGGCTTTTCCAGTGACAAGAGCAAAGTGCTCCGAAACACGGCTTGGTGTGGCAGATCCACCTTTCTGGAATATCTCTCTGTGTTTGGTGACAGCATGGAACAAGTGCATGGAGAGCTGTGAGACAGTCCTAAAGGATGGATCAARTGCACCAGAGGGTTGTGAGGTGGGTCTGAAGGTTTAAGAGAGACGTGGCAGGTACTTGATGCTCTTCAAGAGTTGGCAGCCACCATTAAGATGCAAATAAACAACGAGAATTAACACTCCACAGCTGAATTTATTTTCTGGAAATACATGAGAGCTAGTGAGCTGAAAAATGTGGGAGAACTATTCAGCCTGGTTCAAATGTGTAAATCTAACAAGACTGAAAAAAACCTCTCATTCTTCTGTGATCAACCATTCATTGAATCAATGTCTGTGGCCTGAGCATACCCAACCTGTAAACAACATTATCTGTCCATCTTGGTGGTCAAATGGTCAAATACTGAATGGGCATAAATGCTATAGAACAGAATCACTTTTCCACATCTACAGAACCATTTTGACAGAAAAGAGGATAAAATATCGAGTGCTGTAAATAAAGAAATGCAAAAAACTGTCATTACTAGCAACCAGAAGAAAAAAATTTTCAGAGTTTCCAATTATTGGTCTGTAAGCATTAAACTCAGGGGTGGGAAGACACAAGAGAAGAAGCACAACAAAATAAAAACAGCGACCTTAAAAATACCCTTGCAGAATGCAGCAAAAAAACCCATGGATTGGGTAAGAATGAGAAGAAAGTGAAGCACTTTTCTTCACAGCACAATGCTTTGGGTCCCTGATGCAAAACACATGAGCACTCTGTCCCTGCTCTTCCACACCCTTCAAAGGGCTGAGGCACCCACAGGAACATTTGTAGGATGACAGTGGTGAAAAATTAAAAATTATTTACATATTTGCTCAATGGCTCTTCCAGAGTTTCTACTAATATCAGTTAATCACAAGTGGAATATACTCTGCATTTCCTAATACCAACTCAGAATTGATTTTTGTCTTGGTTAATTCAATGATCAGACTTGTGTTTGCTTTAGTTGGAACACATTGGACCTCTGACTCCTCAGACTCATTTTCACGTGCCTGGGAGCAAAATTCYTGTTAAATATCTATATTCACTCTGCAGCTCCTCTTTCCATATCAGGCATAACTTTGCTCATGTCCACAAACCACCCTGAGCAAGAAATGAGCAGCACTCCAAGGTTCAAGGATACACAAGCAGGTCCTGCTCCCTGCTCTGTTTCCATGCACATTTTTCTCTTCCTGAAGTATATAATGTGACTTACAGGAAGCTACCAGTGGTGGAAAGTTGTAATTCATTGGAAAAGAATCTGTACTTTAAGGAACAGGCACCTTCTTACTGGATCTTAAATAATATATCACATAATGCAATTATTCTATGTCTCCTGGTCATCACATGGTCTTGGGGAAATCAGAGTCAGATTTTTAATATTGAGTGTGTAAGGATCCTACAGAATTGCAGCCTGTATAGAACTGTTCTTCTCTGCAGAACCAAACATCTCACCAGAACAAGCAATTTCTTAAAATTACGATCCATCCTCCATTTCACACACACAAGCATAAAAATAAAATGCAATAAACATGTTTTGGGATGGTTGCTTACCCAAAACATACCAGACAATTACACGTTGTGCTGTTTTAATTAGCGACTCTCTCTCTCAACAGGTCCCATTTGAAATGTGTGGCACTCCTCTGTGCTCCATGCCTGGAGTACAGTTGTATTACAATCACATCTCCAGTCAAAGAACATTGCCATTTTTTCCTAGATCAGACACCTGCTATCAATTTGAATGGTATCTGATTGAATATTTGTGCAGGAAGGACAAGAATCAATTATTCATGAGTACTAAACAATAGACTGTATAAACACAGTTCATGAACCTGAATCCTTTACAACCTGGCTTATCTTCGATACATTTATAAGGGCAGTCACATCTTTTAAACAACTGACATATTYAAGGCCCCCAAAAAAGGGGGAGGGATAAAAGAGAAAAGATGTTTTTCTTAAAGAAAATGTGAAGWGTTTTGGATTAGGTGGAGTTTGTGTTCTTCTGCTTATAGAAGTGGTAATATTTAACTTTTAACTAAATTTAACTAAACATCTCCTGTGACAAGACATTTCCCTGAGACTCCCAGYTCACATTCTGCTGAACCAGGTCATCTGGGTAATTTAACTGAACAGAAAAATATATTCAACTATTGGATCCTTACCCATAAGTCTTATGTGAGTTTTGGACTCCTACCTGTTCTTGGCAATTTAGCAGAACAAAACATTGTGAGGTTCTCCCGTCACTGGGTCCTCTCCCTTGCAGGAACCTGTGTTGTTTCCCTGGCAGCCTCTTCACTTTTAGGTTTCCAGCACAGTTCAATTAAGCTCAGTTGGCTCTGCAGAGCTGATCTGGTTGGATCTGTGCCAGCTGAAATCCTGCACTTTGGTGTCTCAGCTGAGCCTGGAAATACAAACGTGGCTCATGTCAGGTGGGGGAAAGCCTGATCCACACTTCCAGGGAAAATGCAATCCTGACATCACAGTGGAACRATACAGCAGAGACCAGTAAATAATGCATTCTGTTAAAAAAACTTCCTGTCTCCAAACAAGGCTGTTAATGTTGCTGTCATGTTTAATACATTTTTGTGTATACTCCTTTCATTTTCTGGGCYGGTTTTTGCCCGGGGTAGAGTTGGTTTTCTTCMTAGTAGCTGGTATGGGCTGGATTTCGGATTTGTGTTGAAAGCAGTGTTGATAATTCGGGGATGTTTTTGTTATTTCTGAACAGAGCTTGCACAGATTCAAGGCCTTTTCTGCTCCTCACCCCACAAGTAAAGAGTCTGGACAGGGTACAAGGGACTTTAAGGGGACACAGCTGGAACAGCCAATCCCAAGTGACCCAAGGGATATTCCAGGGCAGAAGGAAACATATTTCAGCGTATAAAATTGAGAGAAGAAGGAAGGAGGGATGTTTGCTGTTATGACATTTGTCTTCCCAGTCACTGCTACATGTGATGGAGCCCTGCTTTCCTGGGAATGGCTGGACACCTGYCTGCCATGGGAAATGGTCAATGAATTCCTTCATTTGCTYTGYTTGCTTGTGCAGCTTTTGCTTCACCAATTAAAATTATCTCAACCCACACAGTATTTCTCACCTTTATTCTTCCAATTCTCTTCCCCATTTCACTGCTGGGGAAGAGGGAGAGACCAGTTACATGAGGTTTATTTGCCAGCTGGGGTTAAACCACAACATTTTCTTATGGCAATGGTTTATGTTTCAATGTTTAAAGCATTCTGGAATTACAGTATCCATATTTAAAGCTCCAYGATTACAGCTTCTAGTGGTAAGTGCTTGAACTCTCATGAAATACAATTTGATTTAAAAATCAATCCCCCAATTGAGTTTAAAAAGGCACCAAGTGCTGTTTATTTGTTTTTATGGAAAATAATACAGGCAATTAATTTCTCTCATACCTTAAGTGTCTGAGTTACRAAATTCTATAATGCAACATGGCACGCTTGATGAATAACAGCTGAGGTGATTTGGTTTAGAGGGAGTGATTGGTAGGCAGTGATTTTGATAAAAACTTGTGTGATATGCATTGGTCACCTCAGCTGCACAGCTGATTCACTGGAAACAAGCTTGGAGTGAATAAAATTGCCATCATGTTACATTTTATGTTGGGGAGTCAGGGAGAAGGAGGAGGATATAATTCTTTCCTAGATCTAGTAGCTGCTGCTTTAAGAAAAGAAATGACAAGGTTATGGGTTCTCCCTCTGCCATGCACCTCCTTCATAAATTTTAGCATTAAATTATAAATAAAACATACGAGGACTCAGCTCAATGAGAAATATGTCTGGACTTTGGCACTGTAAAGATCTGCACAAATCCATACAAGCTGCTTAACATTGATTTTCCTTGGCGTCTTTCGCAGCCCTATGCGGGCTTTGCAGCGCAGGAGGCAGACATGCCTTTTATTGTATCAGGCCCTTTGCCATTAATTACAGACATGCCTTTCCTTAATGACTGGGCACAACTGGCCTGCTGATCCCCTGGCTGGATCACCAGAGGATGGAATCAGCAGCACAGACCAGGACTGGGGGCCATTTGCTATTCCTGGCCTCCCTGCTCTCCCCATCCTCTGCGCTCTTTGTAGTGGGAAGTTGGGGCTGGAACCCCAAAGTGCCAAATTCTCCTCCTCCCCTCTCCTTCTGCACCAGTTTGCTCAAAGCAGAAGAAACCCAACACACATCTCCACTCACCTTCAAGCAGAGGTCAGTGGGGAAAGCAAGAGGAAAGACTCATCTTTCATACACCTAGAAGCGAAAAACTCCAYGGCAAAGCCAATATTAACCTCTCTCTCAATGTGGAGAGCTAACCAAACCTCCTGAGTCTGCAAAACTGAGTGGAAAAGAAAAGTTTTGCTTGTGGTATTTTCACATCTTCACTCTGGCGCTGGCTAGCAAAGTAAATGGCCTTGGTGGTTGGTGCCCAGGGCCAGCAGCGAGGAACCCTGGGCTCTGCTCATCCCTCTGCTCCTCACTCACTGCAGAAAGCTGTTTGCACAAAATTCTTGAAAAGAATTCGTTAATTTTGGGAGCCAAGTTTTGCGTGTAAACAAATAGAAACTTGTGGACACTGAGCATCTGCTGCTTTTCACAGAGCCAGAGAGATTCTGGCACACCCTGCACCACTGCCAACCATCCAGACCAACATCTGCACCTTTGCTCTGCAAGGCACAAGGGCTCTTCCATCTCAGGCWCAAAGATGAGAGCTCCTCCTGTGCCCAAGAAAGATTCTTCCAGAAGATGCAGGACTTGGCAATGAATTATTACACCAAAAATTACTGGGCACACGAGCTTGAGAAACCCCTGTTCCTCTCACCTGCTAAATGGGCACTAAATATGAGTCATAAAAAGTCCTTTGACCTCCTGTTCTGGTGTGACAGAAGACCTGGAAGTTCCTCAGAATGAGATCTGTTTTAGAATAACTAAATTTGCTATGGCATTTTGATAAACCTTAGAAGATGGTTTGATTCAGGTCTGTGCATCTTTCAACAAATGTTTTTTGGAGGATAATTTCAATTTTTTTTTTCAGTGATCCCTCATGTATGATGGATATGTTGAATTGTTTTTCTTAATAAACCTTTCACATCAATTGCATCCTCCTGGTCAAATTGTGCCTCTTGAGCAAAGGCTAYTGAAACATGTATCTGATTAGGAAAAACCCATGTTCATGCTAATTTCATGTTTTATTTATTTTTACTTAACTTTGACATAGCTCCTGGAAGATCTATCAATAACAGCCCATCTCCATGATTGGTTCATCCAAATAATGACTGTTGAGCATGTAAAACAAATTGGGCGAGACCCTGCACGAGGAGCAGGAGGCAGAGCTCTCATCACAATCAATTCTCTCTCAGATATAAAAGGTCACTGATAATTATGCGCATKAATCTAAGAATGAAATTTGCCTCATTGAGCTGTGTTACCTCTCCACTTGCAACCACACAGTAAACAGGAAAAAGACAGAATTGACTGAGACACCCACACTGGTGTCCTCCCAGCTGAACTCTGAGTTTCTGTCCACAGCTCCCTTTCTGCTGAATTGCCAGCGCTCAGCCTTTCAAAACTCGATGCATTTTCTTTGCCCAGGGCAGATTATACGTGGCGATGTTTTTCCCCTCAACTGACTTTACAATTCTTGTGCTCCTTGAGAATTCTCCTSCAGATTTGTTCAAATCATGTGGGAATTTAGTTGCTAATTGAAGAAAAACATGGTGTTTCACTGTGAAGGTCTAGATGTGAAGTSCTGAATCTCTTCCTGAAAAGAAAGGTTTTGTTTTCAGGGGCTCAGCCTGGTCTGTCCTGGTGCTAACAGATCCCATATTGTCATATTGTTGGCCTCCACTGAAATGCCCTCATCTCCAAGGGACAAAGGTATTTTATCACCTCTACCTCTTTCCGCTCTCTGAGCAAATCATTAATTAAAAAAAAAAAAAAGTAAAAAGCCAAATAGCTATTGCTCCATGAGCAGAATGCAATCAATAATATTGCTACAATTTAATATTTGAGAGAAATATGTTTAGAGAAAACAAGAAATGAGAAAATCAACTCAACCATGTCTTAAAATGCCTGGTGAACATATCCCTGGCCTTGTGTCCTCTATGGAAATTGTGCTTATACAACAGATAACTCAGCAATGCAGTCAATAACTGGCAAACTTGATACTTCCAAAGGCTCTAAGGGGGAATGTCAACCAACACTGATGAGCAGCTTTGAACCCTTGGCCTTTCAGATGCAGGCTGACAAGCTAACTGGCTTTTCTTCCTCGGTRGGGAAGAGGGTTTTCATAGCCTGTTTCCTACAAATAAAATGCAATCCAAAASTTCTGGGCACATGCCACGTTTCTTGAAAGGGTGAGATTACCCAGYGCCTCTTGATACACTGCGGGATGCCGATGTATGTTTGTACTCCGTGTGGTTTTTTTCAAGTGAAAAAAAAAAAAAGGAACAAAAAAAATTCACGGAATCTCTTACACATGGGAAAATACAATCACTCGGCAGAGAAGCAAAATGAGGCCTACTTGAGTTAATTTCTCCTCACTTATTTATATTTAACTCTGTGATAATGGTCCATTCAAACAGCTGGGCATTATCTCCTGAAGTTAAAGTGCTGCTGGATAACAATTGGAAGCGTTTTTCACTTGTGGACCCTTTATTTGTGAAACAGCAGCAGAGGCAAATCAAAAAGGATTTTTGAGCTCTGTTGAGCTGCATAGGCAAAGAGGTTAAAGGAGGTCGACTGGTGACTCAGGTGTGTTAATCAGGTGAAGTTTTGTATTTATTTATGCCTTCAGTGTGACAAACTCTATCAGAACGTCACCACAATCACACCACYTACAGAAACAGAGATCTTATGGTTAACAGACTTATAAAAGGCCACATCACTTGTCTAGTCTAAGAGTAGGATCTTCCATCTGAAAATCAGAGCAACCACCTTAAATCCCCTACAGAAACACCACTATGCATCCTGGCTTCSTGACTCCTTTGTATACATTTAACTGCTTTGAGAAATGGTCATTATTCACTGCTTGAAAAAGGAGAGAAAAGACATGAAAAGCATCTAGGTAAGATTAAGAAAAGGGATAATAACCTTCTCAGGCAAGGATTCTACAGCTCTTGCTTGTCTCTTTTTCTCAGGTTGTCCTATGTTTCCATAGCTACAAATGTTATTTGTGGTTGGAAATTATGCACTCTCTTTTTATCCCCCTACCCCATAAACATCTATTTGAATTTTAAATTTAATTCTAAGGGTATGGTGATTCTCTTGGTTGTTGTTCACATGTAYAACATTTCCATCATGTTGTAAAATCTGTAAATATTTTCAATTGTCAAAAATTGAGCAAAAACTCTGTCATTTTGAGAAGTGGACTGCAGTCAAGCTTGGGATGGAATCCCA